TTATTAGTATTATTGAGTTATCCAGGAAAGTAATGCTCATGTGAAGGAGAACTTCGGTTAGTCTATTAAAATTGCATGCAAAAATATTAAGACATCAAATAGTGTAGAGAACTAAGCTTTAGCTTCGATGAACCTTACCGACGAGATGCGAGAAGTCAAGTTCCTTGTATGTGACTCGAAAATTCGATATCAAATGGTGCAATCCGAAAGGATAAAACTCAAAAGTTGTAAACCTTATTGCATATTTAAATAACCACCAAATAACAAAATGGAAGAATAAGGGAAATAACTCTGCTCCCTTAAGATTAAAAGATGCTTGATAAGAAAGTGCTGCCCATCCATTACTATAGATCTCTTTGCAATGAGTTTTATAACTCAACATTACCTACTTTCATGCTTTCAAAAAGTTTCGATTCTTCCAAACCAAATAACGCTCCCAAATACCTTAGCTTAGTTCTCTGTCTTCACATTATTGCAAACAAACCCATCAATTGAATGACAAAACAAACTCAAACCAAATAATACCTGTAAGAACAAAATCAAAAAAATCATACACGCCCTCGTCGACGGTAAAAACTTTGGAGGAGATGCAAATGGGTGTCACAAAGGGGTTGCTCGGAAACACCACGGCGACGATTGTCGGACGCAAGCAACTGGAAACAAAAAAAAATACAAATTATAGAGTTCGTTGGTAACGGATTCGGCGAGAGAGGGAGTGGGTTTGCAGAGGCGAGATCGGACAATACAACGAGAGAGAAGGGCGGACATATATCGAAAATGGCGGATGGGGTTTGCAGAGACGAGTTTCGGGATTGTTTTGGTAATGGATTAAGCGAGAGAGAAGGAGTGGGTTTGCGAGAGGCGAGGCGAGATCGGACACTACAACGAAGGGAAGGGCGGGCATATATCGGAAATGGCGGATGGGGTTTGCGAGAGATGAGTTTCGTGGTCGTTTTGGTAACGGATTCGGCGAAAGAGAAGGAGAGATTTGCGGAGGCGAGGCGAGATGGGCGAGCAATAGCGAGGAACGGCGAGCAATGGCGGAACATGAGTTTCCTTCCGTTTTGTAGAGAGAAGGAGAGAAGGAGTGGATATGCGAAGTTCGATGATGGTCGTTGGTAAGCGAGCGAGAGAGAGAGTGCGAGGGAAGAGGATGGTCGCCAAGGGCGAAACTGGAAGAACCGAGTTTCCTTCCGTTTTCTCCCCATTTCCTCCCAATTTTGGGAGGAAAATGGGTCCCACTTCTTTTAGTTTTGTTTAATATTTTTTTTCTTTCCTCGGTTTTCTTCTACAAGCCAAACGGAGGAAACCTTTTCTTTCCTCCCTATTTTCTTTCCTCTCCCCCACTTTCTACCCTATCCAAACGAGAGGGTTAGTTTGATGGCAAGAAAAAATATATGAGTTTTAGTTTTTATAGATTTTTAGATATTAAGTTTTAAATATTTTGCACTTAATATAGCCATGATGGTTACATAATATTCGCCGTAAATTGTTACACTAATATTTTGTGTGCATCTGCAGACTAGTGATTTAAAACCACACTTTACATGCCATGAATTTGATTGAGTAGTGGTCGGAATGGTTTTGCAAACGGTACTCTTTGTTTTATTGATCCAATGGACCAAAATGTTTTGACATTTTTATCTTGAAATTTGGGAAGATTTTATACAATAACTAATTATTTATCTATATCAAATAAATTTGACCAAAAATTAATCTATCAATCTTAAAATTTTAAGTTCAAATAATTAGATATTATGTCAATTTTAAAATAACATTTTAATTTTAAAATTAATGTGTTATTTTAAATCCAATAATTTAATCATAAAATGACTCCACCTTTATTTTTAATCATTATATAACAAATTACATGCTCAAAATTTTATTCTAATTTATCAACACTCAAACCTAATTAATTCAAAATAATTCTAATAAATTAAAAATATGCTCAATTAAATTTCAAATAACATAAATTGAGTTTCTTAACATATTTACTAATAACTAATTACATATATGTAAATGAATAAAATTTCAAACACCAAAAAATAACAAAATCAAGAGTCATACACAAAACCCTCACAAATTAAATGTAAAGTATGAATTAGTAGACAAAAATATACCTAACGAGACTCCTCTTTTAGTAGGGAAAAACAGAGAGACACATAAGACAGAGGAGACTTTAGAGAGAGCAAAAAACACGGCTATTTCGGAAGAGAGGACGGTTGGAGTGGTCGGATATTGATGGAGAGTGGAAATGTGATATTTGTGAGGTATTTTGGGGGGTGTTGCGAGCAATGACGAGGCTAGAAGTTGGATGAGGCGAGAGGAGGAGAAAGAGAAGGAAGATAAAAAGGAGAAGAAAAAAAGATTCGATAAATTTAGGAATTTAATATAATGATGGACGTGACTCCGTCACTAATCAACAACCGATATAAGTTTCGTTATTGGTAAGTTAGAGATGGACAACATCCATCGCCGATTGGCGATAACAATATATGATTAGTAATAGAATATTCCCTTGCTAACCGAGTCATAAGATAACCTAAAAATAGCAACAAATTGGAAAATTCGTCGCTAAATGTCTTCGTAATTCCATCGTGAAACAATCGCGAGTATTTTACCACCTTATTTAATGACAAATTACGTTCGTCGTTGACAATCCACCATAAATCGATTGATAGTCCATTGCTAACATCTATATATCGATGGTAGTCATAAATCATTTGTAATCCGTCGCTATTTAGCTATGTATTATAATCCGTTACCGATTACCATCACTAAATTACTTTTTTTTTCCGGTGGTGTATGATTATTCGACAATGAAAGAAGGCACTAAATTTCCAAAATGAGACCTCTTCCGTACTCTACCCTTTTCGTGAAGTCGAAGCTTCATACTAAATGATCGAATTACTTGAATGAGATCATTATCTTGTTCCGTCTCTATATAAACAATATTCATAATCAATATTTAAGCTAAAAAAAACACCTATTTTTTTTCTCTCTCTCTCTATTAGGAAATGCATCAAATAAGAAAAATAGAATATTGTGTATTTCGATAATTGTGTTTACTTCACGATCGCATTAAGATTTTTTATTAAAATTTTATCAAGTGGGAGTTATGAATATAAGAAATATTATCTCTAATTATAGAATGGACAACTATAATTATAATAAAAAGACCTAACAAACGTTGCTTCAAAATCTAATATTTTGTAGATTTTTCGAAAGTTTCACCCTAGATCTCTCACAAAGGCGTTGTCCCCTTGATTCCGTTTGCTAAACTGTACACCACATCCACATGAATCCTTGTAACTTAACACCATCTTCATTTGTTGTGTGCCTGAAAGACACAAATTAAGGAGAAATTAGTATGGATCACAAGACTCTTGTCCAAATGCGAAATGATCCATTTTTAATTATAGATATGGTCACTAAATTGATGCCTTGACCGTGCCTGTTGCAACAATTAACAAATGCTAACAAAGAAGACAAATTCTGGTCATGTGATGGGTATAGACGTGGTCAACCGTTCAAAATTTCAAGTTTTTGACCTTTTCCTTTCAGTACTTTTTCTGTGGTTGCTTCGGCGTTTGGCAAACACTATCCTATGTACAATGTACTAGATATGATATGTTTCTTGTACACATTGGAATTAAATGTACACAAGACTCCAAGGACGAAGGTGATAGTCACCAAAGAAGCAATGATCAATTTATGTGTAGTTGTCATTTTTCTTCAAGGCCAAATTGTACCATCATTTTTCCGTTTTGAAGAATACTAATTTTGGTTCTAGTTCTTGTTCCGTAGCCTCTTAAGATGTGGAATTCCGTAGAGTAGAAATTCCTGATGGAATTATTATGTGGTTAAAGCTCACCAACGCCCTACCTAACTTTAAACCCAATTCATCTTGTTTGGTTGGATCAAAGCTGGGTTTCCTTTTCGCAGAAATTTATTGCATACTCAGAAATCTGAGTCAGCAACACATGGAAAATGTCTAGGTATTTTTTTCCCACATCATCTAATCTTAAGTTACAAATCTCATCTTTTGAAAAATTAAGGGATCTGATCTCCACATCACTCCACCATCAGCTGGGACCCTTATTCTTGGAACATAACTAATAAACACCAAGAAAAAGAGGATGCTAGAAGTATTTGTTAATTGTTACCACATTCATACAACTGGACAACCTCATCATCTTGAACAGTGCTTACTGCTTAGAGAAGTCTTGCAAACTTCCAAGCTTATTAAAAATTAACCACCAGGGAAGGGAATGACGTAGTGGTAAGGACTTGGTATCAAGGAGTTTGCTCTCCTTGTAGTCTCGGATTCGAGTCCCGATTGCTTCATTTGGTGACCATTGGAGGCTTACGTGGTCGTTAACTTCGGGACCCGTGAGATTAGTCGAGGGGTGTAAGTTGATCCGAACACCTGCGTTATAAAAAAAAATTGGCTAACAACTACTCTAGCTGGACTTGGATTGCAGCCATCCACTTGATGGGAAAACGTCATTGTCAAATGGCAATTTTTTAAGATTGAGTCCTAGTAGTGTGACAATGTTTAAGGCTCTGTGGGTGCTGGGGCAAGTTGATACACATTAATTTTCCGATTACCTAGCATGCGAATTTGAATGACAGAATTAATTATAATAAGTCGCTTCGATGTCCAAGCACTTTACTGAACTCATGAAAGCTGTATTTTGCTTGCAGTTAGCTTTCACGTTTAGATCCAAATCAACAGGCTTTTGTCCCTCTGAGGGAAAGGAAAGAGTGAAAGCGAAAGGTAAGAAGTGAGAAAATATGTTGCGAGACATCACCATTCTATGAACAATTTTTTTGTAAGATAACATGACTTACTTTCAATTAATGAGCAAATTGCTTTTGATTACATATTTACATTACATCTAAATCTTATTTTATTTTAGATTTTTATTCTCTCTGTCATTGGCCAGACCAATTCAAGAGTTGGTGTCAGCTTGTCGCTCAAAGGTTTGAACATCACTTTAAAAGATTGCAGCTTTAAGTCTTCTCTTCAACTCCTTTCTGCAGCGAAATAAAAATGAGTAAAATCAATGTGACTTGAGACCTTTTTTTCTAAAACCCTTGTTTGTTTTTAGATTGTAGAGTCTGTGTTAAAGTTTGTTTACCTCATGAGTTCCCCGTCAATGCTTGAAGCAGATAACAGTCCCCTATTCTCTTCAGCCCTTCTTAGAAGGTAATGGATAACCTTGTCAACAGGTCCATATGGCATGTACTTGCTAACTTGAAAACCTGCTTTGCTTAAACCAAATGAAAGTGCATCTGACATTCCATATAGCTGTGCAAACTCAAGCTTTTCGTTCCCCTTTCCTATCCCCAAGTCCAGTGCTTTTGTCGCTGCCAATCTCCCTGTAGAATGCACATAGAACGCCCTGTATCAAATCCAATGTCAATGCCGATGGTTATAATTAATAATATATGAGTCTCCTTCGTCTCTTTACCTGATTCAACATTATGTGTTGCAAGAATGACGGCATCTGAGCTATTAGCGATCTTTTCGAGCATGAAGGAAGCGCAATCATTGAAGCAAGCATGTGTGTCTTGAATACTATTGTGAATTGGAGAATCATAGCCTAATGAAGATGCTAATTTATTTTCACTTAACATATAAGCACCCCTCACTAATTTAAACCCCATAGGAACTCTCATTTTTTCGGCTGCTTTACATACAAGCAACAACCTCTCTTTCGCATCTTTCAAGTAGGTCTGAATTGTGCCATACACAATGGGATTGTCATCTTTGTTGTACTTGATCGCCGCCGAATATGTCAAGTAATCAATGGCAGGTTGAACAGTTGTGTTCTCTGCATCCACTGTTAACGGGATATTGGCTTGGACGCTTTTTTCACACAGTTTCCACAATCTCTCCTGGCCTAATTGGAGATCAAGCTCTTCTTGTAGGGTTAATGGTTCTGGTTTTTTAAGTGTATGATACAAAGGGCTAGAATCAGACAAAATTGGAAAGCTATTGTGTTTCCACGGAAGATTGAAAGAAGGATCTCTTTGTTGCCACCTTAGCAAATCACTAGCTCTCTCTAACAAGCTTAAGGGGCAAATTGCTGTGACCTTCACCACCACACTGCTCACCTGATCCAAGTACAAAACACACAAAAATTAGCTACCTTCAATTAACAATATTAGTACTCTAAATATGATTGAAACTAAAAACTTAAGAATAAATATTTTTTAGTTGCCTTTGGGTTTTTCTTCCTTGCCACGTCAAAGAAATAGAAAAAAAGAAAAGATACGCAAAAGTTAATCAGAGGATACTCTGACCGTGTGTTCAACTTCTGATAGGACACCTCAGCCATGAAAAGGACAAGCTTTGTTTCTCGAGAAAAATATTCAACTAATCTAGCTGTGCTCTGGCTGTCATTTTCTAAAATTGCATGTATTGCCAATCTCTTATGGTGAATAGGATACAACATGACCTGGTGGAGTCCAACAAGACACGACTGCTTACACTTGATCAACTTGTTGAAGGATTCTACTTGCATTCTAAGCTGTAAAACTACCGTATACAGGAGGACCCATATCTAATTTCAAAACTTTGAAAGGAGTTTGAACTTAACGGCTCAAAAATCAAAGAGAACTTCAAAAATTGTTTCTTTTTGCAAGTTATCTATAATTTCAAAAGGAGTGTCACCATAAGAAAAACGAAAGAGAGACCCGAAAGTCTTTAAAACAAAAGAAGGGGTAATTGACTTAATAAAAAAAAATGAAAATGGGGTTAATTAAGGAAAAATGAAATCTTACAGAAGATGGAGGAAGAGACATGGCAGAGTGAACAGTATCAAGAAACCCTTTCAAGTTCTGATCACAAGCATCATTATGACCTGTATATTCAACAGCAAAAACCAACATCCCTCTTAAACCAGCTTCATTAGCTTTCTTAATGCACCTTCCTGCCTCAACCACATCTTCTCCAGCACAAAAATGTTCAAAGAACGTACGCCTTACAGTTTTTAACATAGCATCACGTACAATATTATCTGTCTCCATAAGCCTAGAATTCATAACCCACATCCCAAAATCAACCACTGGACCTATAGAACCGAAGTAAAGATTTGCAGATGCATGCAAGAGTTTGGTAGTTGGCAGGTTTGAGAAAAGTTTTTGGTGGTCATGAAAGTCTAGGATAGATGGTTTTGCATGATCTTGGATAGTGGTAGGCGGCTTTTGAAAACTGGGTTCAGGTTTTTCAGCCAAGCATAGAGGAGAAACGGCAGTACTGGCGGTGGATACAGAGGAGGAGGAGGAGGAGGTTTTGAGAGACCTTGAGACGAAGAAACGGATGTTTTGGAGTTGTTTTGGGGGCAGAACTTTTGTGGCCATGAAAGGCGGAGTTTAAGGTTTTTATGTTTTAACAAAGCCTTTAGGAGAAATTTTTATTATGAGAAAGATACAGCAATGGGTCAGGGCGGAGGGGATTATATTGGAAAATTTGCTGAACAGTTGACGGCTTTTTTTTTTTTACAACATGTATATTGTTGAATTGATGAAGTGGACAGAGGTTATCTTACAAGGTGGAGTAAATATGGAATTATCATCTTGATTGATGTCTCAATATTAGGATGGTTATTAATTATTACATCATATTATCATCTTTTATTCATATTTTTTTTAAAAAAAATTAGGATCACATTTGGACATATTTTTACAAAATAAACTTTAATTAGAAGTACTTCAAAAAAAAATGCATCATTTAAAATTTTGTCCAACTATAGTTTAAGAAAATATGAACAAAAAATTCTAGCATAACAATTTTTGGGATAGAGAGAATATTTATTTGGTAGTATTTGTTAATTTGATTGTTATGAGGACCATCATTTTTATTTTCTTTTTACCATACTATTTCAAGTTTTCACTTAATATTTCCTCTTACTTTGTTCATATTCTCAATGATGATCGGTAGCTAGTAGCTAAGTCTACGCATGGTAAAAGAACATAAGGAAATACATTTTTTTTAAATAGATTATAGCTAGGTGTAAATGAAAGTTAGAAATGATAGTCAAACCCATGAATAGTAATTAACAAACAAAACTAAAAGAATAAGACTTTTCACTATTCATTTACTGCTCATTCACACTTAGTTGCGCTGTAAATGTATTGTGCTTTCCCATTCTCTCTTGGCCGTGTGTTCTTCTATGTCTCTTTCTGACCATTTAATTTGTTGAGCGTCCTTTGTTTATTTTTGCTCTTCTTTGATTTCCTAATTTACCTATTGGGTGCTAATGTTCAAAGCAGCCACCATTCTTCTTTTCACCTAAAACCTTTGTTGCAGCTGCATCTCTCCCAAAACTCCATAGCCCGATGTGGATCATCACCCGCTCATCACCACCATTACCCACTATACCATGGGTTGCTCCATAACCCAGCCAAAGACCAACTCCTCATAACTGCCACCACCATCTCCCTTCACCCAAAACTGTAACCCGCTGTAACTCTCCCTCAACTGTTCACCCACCATCGATCTCCACATTACGAAACCACTCCTATTCACAACTAAACACTAGCTCCCTAACAGTCGACATTGACTCCCAAGTCAAGGATCTCCCTCATCCAACCTGTAGCCCACTACCACTCTTCCCAAACTCCTTACCCACTGTCGATTTCTACATCCTAAAACCACTCTTCTTTATAGCCAAAGACTAGCTCCCTAACAGCCAACATCAAGTTCCAAGTCAAGGAAGTCATGCCATCTCGCTTTAACAACTTCAAAGAACAGGCCAAGTGTTCTTTCTTTCTCACTTATGAAATTAATGAAATTCTAGGGTATTTATTATTGAAGTTGGTGCAATTTAATTGTGTTTGAGATTTGATTAAAAAAGAAAGTGAATGATATTGTTTGGTGCTTAAGGGATTGAGGAGAACTAAATGGTTATTGTTATGACTAAATTGTAAATTGCAGTTCTTTTATATTTGAGGGAGTGTGGAGACTGTCAGAGAAGGACTTGAGATTGGAGAAATTTACACTAGATGTGCATAAGAGATTTGTCAAGTAGTGTTTGTTTGAGGTAATTTTGTTTAATCTTCTGACTTTGTCTTTGGTAATTATGCTTATGTTTGTGTCAGTATATGCCATACTCATTTGATTTTTAGTTCAATGAAAATGTAATTATTAACATTAATATCTTTTACTTTGGTGCTATTGTATGTCGGTTTAGAATGATGATTCATATTAAAGAAAATAGACACTCTATTTTTGTTGACAATATATGAGTAGCTATGGTTCAGATATTCATTTTGGAATAGTTAAATTTGATAAAAAGATGTATTATCAGAGATTAAGTTTTACTCAGCACATTGATTGCATGTTATGCTCCTTTTGTAGTTATTGATCTTTTCTTTTTTGCAGCAGGTCTAGAAATTTTGAAAAATAAGTAGCACTTTTCAAGGTAAATTCAAGATTGCTTTTTGTTAGTGGTGGTGAATGGTGATGCACAAATACTATGAATCTTTGTTGAATCAAGATGATCGTCAACTCTAACAAGCGGTTTAAGATGTTTTTCTAACACAGAGGAGGATCTAGGTCAGAAACTTGAAGCAAGGCTCAATGCTGCTCAACAAAAAAATTGAATAAAAAATATTAGATTTTGAAGTTTTGATTGAAAATTTTAGGAATTAATTGAAAGTTATTGAATTTTAAATCAGGCGGTGATTTATTAGGCTTAGCTTGGAATAAGAGGTGTCAAATTAGATAGTTGAGTCAAAATTCATTTTTTGAATTGAACGTTTATGGCTTTATCTTGATGGGTTTAATCTTCTCAAGCAATGCTTTAACCCCACTTACATTCCCTATTTATTTTATGTTATGATCTAATTATAAATGAAGAACACTTGCTATCACTGTATGCTAGAATTCAAAGTTTGTTCATTTAAGATAAATGACAGATGCTCTCCTTCTTGAAAACTTCTTCGATGTATCTTTTTATCATATGCTCTTGCCATTTTTTTCTGATATAGTTGGGCATGATAGATAACAGTAAGTCATTTTTTGCTTATCAGATTCAGTTGTTCCATTTAGATTCTTCTAATTCCGCCTCATTCAAAGCTCTCATAGAAGGTATTTTACTATCAAAGGCATCACCGTCTCCATTCTACATACCAAATAGTAAAAAGTCTGCTCTTGTTGAAGTTTTAAAAGTTGTTCGATAAGCAAGTAATGTAAATGGTAACATCTCGTGTCAACTTTTGTATGTCACCACCATCTTTTGGATAATCTTTTTTAGATTTTTGTTTGCTTTCATGACTCCATTCATCCTAAGCCTATTTTATCTTTTAATATTGGCACAAACCTATCATCATTTTGCTATTAAAGTTTTGAGCATTTTCCATTATCAAAGTTTCGAAAGATCCATATTTAAAGATGATATCCTTCTAAAAAACCCAACATACCACTTTTTTAGTCAAATGTGCCAAAAAAGCATCTTCGACCCACTTTATGAAATAATCAATCACCATGAGGATCACTATCCGAATTTCGCTAAATAACGACGAATTATTCCATAGCTATTTGATAAAAATCCATTGCTATATGCAATTAATGACGAATTAGAAACAATATCAATTTCATCGCTAATGTGGTGGTTCCTATTTTTTTACCAATCAAATTTTTCTTTCGTTACTAATCGGTAATGAAATATTCATAGCTAAATTATTAACCTTTTATTGCTAAATCAATCTAAATCAGTCATCGGTAATATCTCATAATTGTCACCAAGTCACCGTTATTTCTACTTAAATCCATCGCTAAATAGAGATGAAATGGGTTGTCACTAAATTATAGTCGCTAATATCCTCGTAATTCCATTGTTAAATTTGTCATTATTTAGTGATGGTATATATATTCGTTGCTAATTATCCTCTTTATTTTGTCATAAAATTCGTTACAATTTTTTTCTTTTTTAAATCAATAGCCATTTATTGGGAATTGTAATATCAAACAATTATAAATAATACATTATTAAAATATGATATATTATTTAATAAAATTAAAATTATATAAAATTATATAAAATAAATATATAAATGCATTAAGATGGATAAAAACATTTAAAACTTTTTTAAATAAAAAAATTTAGTCTTCATCATCATCATCATCTCCTGTGTCATTTTTTTGTTGATGGTTGTTAAGAGGAATGATTGATTGTCGGGTTATGGGAGGGTCAACAAGAGGGACGAGAGGGGGCTCCATAATTCTCTATAACTAAGTCCGCATGCCGCTAACTTGACTAGCCTATTGTTGGATGGTAGCCTCCATCTCCTTGATCTTATCTTCGTATCAGGCGGGATCTTTTGAATATCACTATCATGATACCCCAAAATGACGGAGGAGGAGCCGGCATCGAATGTGAGTAACACTAGGACGTATAACTTTTGATGTTGTACACTCTTTGCTTCTTCTCTCCTTTAATAGTATCCGGATATATCTTAGACATGTCGATATCTTGAGATGATGCATCACCCTACTCGTCACACTTTAACGAGTTGCTTCTGCGTTAACTGCATGTACTCTTAAGTCATTGAAATAATTACAATATTAAATCATAAATATATTTTTTAAATTATATCAATATATGTACATATATTTAAAAAATTAAAAAACCTTATCATTGTCTGTTTGCGATTGTCTATCGATGAATGTCTCATCTTTTCATTTATGAGTGATCAAAAATAGCTCATAAGGATTTAGGTTATGATCCAATTTATTGTGCCAAAAAACAAAAACAAACAAAATAATATGAGATGAAATAAATGCAAAAATTAATTTATAACATAATAGATAATATATTATTTACTAAACGCTTAGCGTGCTCAATCAAAGAGATGGATCCTCCGGTATGTTTGGATTGGCCAACACTAACACCACCTATCTCTCGACATACAATTTTAAGACACTTGCTAAGATCAAGCTTGATACTTAGGAGTGGCCTACTCTCGATGCCATGTTGTCTATGTCTCTTATTTAATAAACACGGGTATGTTACTCTTATGCTTTAGCTTGTTAAGCATGTCACCATACCGTCTCCATTTTAGGCTCTCCTACGTATCCTTAATTAGAGTGTCAACGATCGATCCCATAAAAAGTACCTCTACATGAAGGAGAAAAAAATCATATTAGTATTTTTCATGGTAAATTAAATCTTTAAATGAAATATAAATAAATAATTAACATATTACCCTAAATCCATTAAAGTAGAAGTCTTTCATCTTCATAAAGATAGAATTCTTTCATCTCCATGGAGACAAACTTTCATCTGGAGCCAACGACGTCTAATCGCTCATTGGGAATTGTGATGATTTTTATAGAGCACTTGCTTGAAAGAACCAAA